GGTCAGTTTCAGCAGCGGCTGAATCTGGATGCCAGTTCCGACTTACATACAGATTCAACTTAAGAACAAACCTACAGTCCCTATCTTGTACGTAACCCGGGGACTGCCTGTACTTTGCAAAAGACAGGATGCATGCATGCACTCAAGCCAACACCTCCACAGGTCCCTAGACAAGGTGGGGGAGGAGGGAGCAGGTCCATGCTCCGGAAGGGGTGGGGCCTCAGGCAGAAGGGGCAGTCTGTGGCAGCCAACTCTCTGTACCACCCAGAGTGTGGCACTGCCTCTTCCCCATCTCTGAGCCACATAATGGCAATTTAAAGAGCCCGGGATTCCAACTACCCTCCGTGCTGCCGTGGCAGCCTGGAGCCCTCTTTGAATCACCTGGCCCCCCGCCCATCGCCACACACACACACACACACCAGCGGGCCTGCACACACGCACACAAATGGGGCAAGTTGGATATAGGATTCTTTGTATTCACCACCCGATTACAGAGAGAGACTGCAGAACTGGAATCCATCAACAAATTTGACAGTTACCCTGGGCTTGGATAAAAACGTTAACTGGTTAACGCATTACAAAGCCAGTTTCCCCTGACATTTATATCTGCATTTTCATAGCAAAAGCTATGAATAGGATACATCCAGCCCACTTCATTAGCTTCATTAACACAGGTCCTACAATTGACACACACTTATTCTGCTGTGTTATATATCTCGGTTTCTGCTATTTCTACTCCAACTCATCTGGTAAAATGGGACTTACCCCTGAAAGGTCATGATCCTATATGTCTACCCCTCTGAGGAGTCTTTGTTATCAGTGCTTGAAATCCTACTTCTTGTCTAACCAGATGTTTCTTAGTCCCTGTATATAGGGTAGGTGTCATAGGCACCAAATAAGCAAAGTCCCTTGCATGAACAGGGCAGAGGGTGCTGTGTAGGTGGAGGGAGGTTTTGGAGCCTTGTGTTATTCTGGCAGGAAGTCAAGAGATTAATTTTCCTTCACTGCTCCTCACTTCTCAGCCTCTGCCTCCTTACCCCAGAAAGGAATGGGAAGTTAATCATCTTAAAACTTCTTGCCTTTCTTGTGTAGTGTCCAGTAGTAGAGGGAAGCCATTTTTTTTCTGTTCTGCTTTAAAGGCCTGATGGCCACCTGCACTGCTGTCCTTGAAGGATCAGGGCATTACTCAGTCAAGTGTCCAGGGATTCAGCTGAGACAGCAAATACCCAGCACTGGGACATTTTCCTCCAGGTTGGGGCAGTTGGGCAGCAGGGCAGGGATCGCATTGCAATGGCAAAATGTAAGCTTTGGGATAGCTCCGTCTCCTCTGTACATTCGAAAACAAATACCTGAATGGGTAGGGGTGGGGAGGAGAACTGGTACAGCATAGGTCTAAGTTTAAATCAGTATAGTTATTCCAAGAGGCAATGTGTGGATTGATTGGATTAGCGATTTGCATGGTGTCTGAATATCTGGCTTCAACAGAGAATTGCTTGGGGAGGGGAAAATCCATTTGCAGACCTTAAAGTGAGCCCATGTAGATGGGAGCTCTGCCAAGGTAGGTCTATTTTTAGATCTAACAGTTTTGACCATGCTCCCTTTCAGTGTTTGCTTCCCTTTGGTGAGAATGAAAGAAGTAGGTCAGAGCTTGCAGAATAAGCCTTTGGATCTTGGTTACAACGCTTTAAAAAAAGGTGGGGTTTTTTAAGCTCTTGTGCAGTGAGAAACAGGGAGGAGGGTGTTCATGCAGTGCTGAGGGTGTCTCTAGAACATATTTATTGCTCATGAAAATGAGTGACTGACAGCATTGGCTGGATAACACAGGCATACTGCACACAGATAGCCCCTGTAGCACTGACCTGCAGTACCCAGCCCTACCTATTCCTGAACAGGAATACTGCTAATTATATTGTATGGTGGTTTTGTGACAAATGCTATCGTCTGACTTCTTTTTGGTGGGTATAATATGAATAATGCATTGGCTGCTGAACTCCTTCTGACGTTTGACTAAGACTAGAAGCCTGATTCTTTGTTGCCCTAGGATGCTCGTAAAACGTTGTGGCAGCATAAGAGGAAGGCAGTGGATCTGCACCCTGTGGAATACAGTCACCAAAAGGACTTGCATGGATCTGGTAGGAATGTTTCTAGGCCCCCCATTGTAAACCCAGTATACAAGGTATTTGGGGGAGTTGTGTGGAGCAAGGCCTGAACTGAAACACTGCTACCAAAGAAATGGTGGAGAAACTAAAAAAAATGCTGGTGTACTTAAGGTCTAGGAGAATTATTGATGAAATAAGGTGGCATAATATGTAATTTAGGTCACTAGCTCTGCTACTAACCAGTTGTACCTGTTCCCATCTCCCCCTCTGTTTCTCTTAGGTATTTAGATTATGGGCTTTTTGTGGCTGTGATTCTAAGTCCTTCCTTCCTGTGAACCAGAGCTATGAGTTGAGGGCTAGTACAAAGCATCTGTTACTTACATTAGCGGGCACTTACTCATGCAGCCAGTGGTACTGACTTCAGTTGGATACTTGGGTAAGTACTTCTCTGTGAGCCTTCACAATTCTACGGCCTAGCCCTAGTTATTTGCTAAAACAGGGGTCTCAAACTCCTGCTCCGACGGCCATTTGCAGCCCAAGCACTTCTCCAATCCGGCCCATGAAATATTTTGAAAACGTTATTTAATCTGGCCTGTGGGGCTGCCGGCCTGGGGGCGGCAAACATGGACTAACACCTTCTCAAACTGTTCCCAATAGCACCCAGGCCCCCAGCGCCCACATAGTCCTGGTCGCAGAGGGCACTGCTTGGCTGGGGAGGCCACACTGGCTGGCTCTGCCGCAATGTGAATTGTGCTGACCAGGGAACCACTCAACCTGAGGCACTTCTGAGGCCAGCAGTGTGGCACTGTTCAGTTAACCTGGAGCGGAGCAGAGGATTCCAGCACAAAGACACAGATGTTAGTGGGAGGAGGTGTGGAAGAGGCAGGATCTAGGATTGCCGGATGGTCTTCCTAAAAATACCAGACACGCGGTATTTTTTGGTGGAGCAAAATTTGGTGGAGCAAAAAAAGGAATGCAGGATAAGCAGCGATCGCAACCCCGCCTCCCATCTGGGGCTCATAGGCTGGGGGGCAGGGCCACGATCGGCGCTGGGAGCCTGTGATTGCGCAGAAGCCTGGTGGAGGTGGGGGGAGTGGCTGGAAGTCCACGCTTATCCCATGTTCCTTTTTTTTTTAAGCTCAACCAAAAAATACTGGGTGTCTGGTATTTTTTGGGAGACCATCTGGCAACCCTGTGCAGGGCCAGGGCAGGAGTAAGCCGGACACTATCTCAGTTAAGTGGTACCCAGCCAGATCCTGTATCCTGAATCCTTGTCCCAGTCCTGAGCCTCGATGGAGGCCTCTGCCTTCCAGCTGCTCCCTCCTCCCACGCCAGGCTTCCGTCCGGTGCTCAGCTGGAAAAATCAGAGAATACCGGACATTACATATGGAGAATCAGAGAACACCGGACAGCTGGCAACCCTAGGATCCCAGTGAAAGGGCGTGGATGTTAGTGGGGTGGGAGGGCATCCCAGTGTGAGGACATGGAGGTGTAAGAGTGAGGTCTCGGTTTCATATTTTTGGTCTCTGTTTGGGCTGCTGAACACAGTGGGAGACACTGTCAACTTGCATGTACTGTATTGCCCACCCCAAGTGTTCAAAACTGATGAACCAGCCCTCCTGATCTCCCAAAAAGAGAATAGCTGCTTGAAATCACAGATAAAAGATCCTCAGGTGTCTTTTTATTTGGCATCTGGTGTTTGAGGTTTTTGGCTGAACTGGGGGCACATTTTCTAGCTTTTCTACACAAGCCAGGAGACCTAAAGTCTTCCTTTAAAAAAACAGAAAAAGAAGCTGAGATTGTCTTCCTGCACTCTGCACCATCAAACAAGCATACTCTAAGTCACAGCGATCACAGCTGATAGTGTATGAGGCATCAGGTAGTAAAGTTCTCAGATATGGCTTAATTCTAATAATGTGGCTGGGGCTTTCCATTAAAAAAAAAGCCCTAATTATCAGGAGGCTTGTGATCAAATCAAGAGAGTTGGCATCACTGCTGTCTAGTCAGTTTCACAAAATGAGATAATAGTTTCACAGCTCACACCTATGGACAGGTCGGTTCTGCACACACCTGCCCTGGGTCATAGGGTTGTGCTGGCAGCAAAACGGGGCTAGCAGCAGGAAGCCACTCTATTCCTCTGCTTCTATCGGCAGTGCAGCAGTGTGGGGAGGTGGATTTTAAATCGTTTGGTGGGGGGGGGGACAGGCTGGGCTGGTAAATGTGGAGGGGATGGGACACATGGGCCAGCAGAAGGGAGCAGGAGACATGGGGGGGGGAATGCCCAGAGACCCCTACCCCCCACAGCACTGGCAGAGGAGGTGTGCCTGCTGGTCTGCTGAAGGGATCTGAGGACTGGCACTGGCCCTGAGACCCCAGTCCTTAAAGTCATGCAGAGAAGAGGTATTGTTGTTAAAGATGCGAAAAGTAGCAGATAGGGGAAACTGACCAGTGTGTGTTCTTTGGTTGTTGTTGCACATTTCCAGAATAACGGCATTAATTTATTTAACCAGAATTATGCTGGATTTGTATGAGACCGACTGAGAGTAGAATTTGGCCAGGGATCACCAAGTATGAAAGACAAAGTATTTCAGAGAGCTGAATGCTCAGTTTTGTAGGACACTGTAGTGGCGTTGGGGGTTGGCAGATGCCACATAAGCCATCTGCTGCTTTGGCTAGATTTCCAGAGGTGGTAGAAACTGTCAGGCTTGCAATTTATTTGCATGGAGCTTTACATATTCAATGTGCTGTACAAACAGTAACTGATGAAATACTGCGACATCCCTGTCAGGTTATGTAAATAAACCATTGTCTCCCTTTTACAAATGGGGATAATAAGAGAAAAAAGCTGTGGTTTGTCCATGTCCTTAGCTTAGAGCATATCTGAGCCAAGATTAGTTCTCTCCAGTTCCTGTGCTTCTTCCATTAGATCTGAGCTAACCGAAGTGAAAGGGTATTGCAGAGGAGGGATGCATGTAATCTGTTAAACAGTTAAACCTTAGGTTTCACCTGTTAAGCAGATGTGAGCAGCCCTCAGCCTGCAGTGTTGCTGTTGGCTTTGCCTCAACTGTCTCTCACTTCCATGCGGGGTTGCCACCAACCCTCATCGCATGGGACTGCCACTGCCTTCTCCTGCCCCATGTGGGGCTGTTGGCTCCCACTTTGGCCCACAGCACACTGGGCCCAGTGGGGCTGTAGCAGCCTTCGGCCTGCAGCGGGCCACTCCCATCACCAGTCAATGGTTACTTGTTCACATCCCTGTTGCAGAGAGCAAAGCAACAATAGTGCACTAGACCCTGGAGTACAGTTACGTTGAAGCCAAGAAGGTAGGAGTGGGAGTAGAAGAGTAGCTGCAATAACAGGCCCATATGCGGGAATTTCTGAGGGGGTGTGTGTGCTGTTTTTGTAAATGTGGACCACATTTTTTTTTTAAATATAAAGGAGTTCAAAATAGTCATGTAAAGAGTGTGCATAAGAAACGTTAATGAGAAATTTGAGTGGAAACAGTGATTGGTAAAATGATTTTGTTATAACATACTAAAAATGTATACAGTAATAAAGGTTTTATAGAAATTACCTTCTGGGCTCTTGCTGTAATATCAGAAGTGAAAAACAATATTCTAGAATATGCCAATCTTCCTTTCGGGCTGCCCAGGAGCCCTGTGTGGCCAGGCCACAGCCTGGAGTGAATCGTGAGAGGGGCTGGTGGCTTCCCTGCTCCTGCCACGGAGGCCCAGCCCCTCCCTCAGTTTCACTCCTGGGAGCGGGGGAGGAGAACTCAGCCCCAGCTGGAGCATGGGGGTGGGAGGCTAGGGCAGTATGCTGTTCCTGCTCCTCCCCTCCCCCCAATCAGCCAGAGAATGGGGGAGCAAGGCCTAGGCAGCGTGCTGCCCCTGCCTTCCCCAGGCCAGCTGGAATCAGCCCCTGGAGGCAATTTGGGGGAGGAGGGAGGAGGTGCATTCACACCCTTTGCACTCCCTGCATACAGGCCTAAACAAGTAACATATTCTTCATGTAGCATGAACTAAAACTGGCATAGCATCAGAGGATTAATTAATGCTGCTCTAAACATTGTTGACTAATTGTACATGCTCTGTGACTCCCCGGGGTTCTAGGAATCAGAGCAGCTAGTAGGTGTTGGGATTTAACATGGGCCGAAGCAAGCTGTGTTAGTACTGCCTGTGATAACCAGAATTTATGCAGGTGGAGATACCCATCATGCATCTGGTCAAGAACAGGGGTTGGAAACGATATGTTGCGTGGATTCTGAGCCCTCTGAGTTTGTTTATAGATATTTGGTTCCAGCCAACTTGGGGTCCTTGCTGGAGCTACAGTTTAGTGACTGCCTTTTTAATCCCATGAGGTGTGTGTGAGTGAGAGCGAGAGAATGCTGGAAGGGAAGACAGGCCATCAAATTATTCTGTGTATTACTAGTCAAGTTACGGCAAAAGCAAAATAGACCCTTTTACTAATTAGAGTGCTCTTTCAGAAAAAAAATAGAGAAATTGCAATTTGTGTAAATGACAGCTTTCTTCTGTGTTTTGTTTTTTTTCTCTAGCAAAGTAATGATACACTTCAACCAGCAGTTTATTTCTACAAGAGTGGGCTGGGTATCTGAGACAGTAGGATTCAGTGGTATGAGTAAGCAGTAGGAGGTGAAGAATTATATTGTAGGATGGAAAGAAGGAATTTTTGATCTCCATAGGGAAAGGGTGTATTCAAGAAGTAGGAGAGATGGTAGGAAGAAACATGTTGTGATAAAATGAAGAAAAGTGGGGCGGAAAAATATGAAGGCAATTATAAGATTACCAAATAAGTTAAATAGGCTGTGGAGATTTTAATAAATATTTTCTATCTTCCTTTGTGTTCATAGCAAATTTAAATGGGAATAAAGCAAGAATTCACAGCTGAATCAAAGTCTAATGTATTCCACACACTTATTGGATATATACTTTAATAAACCATAGTAAGTTTGGTGTATTAAATTCCTCATTGTGACATTGATGCAGCAATTAAAAAAAAACCCACCCTTTTCCAGTGTGTGTGTCTGTCTTCAAGCTTTGTGCACTTAATAGTGTCTCTCATCTTCAGAAAATATTTCTGATGTTATAGTTGTTTACAGAATTGAGTAGTGGCCTTATTAGGCAGTCTTATAGAAATACAATGTGGGGAGATGTGAATTGCCAATCTTTCTTCAAGCAGGCTTCTTTAGAACGATTTTTGTTTGGTAAACTGAGCTAACAAAATTCAGTTAAGACCCTCTCTGATCTTCACTTCACTAAACTATACTATTCATAATTCACGCCAGAAAATAGGAGGATCTCAGCAAAGCCTTAATAGAATAGTGTCATAAGGTTTCTTGCTAACAAAGGGTGAATTATTTTTGCAAAAGTAAACGTTTGGTAGTTTCTGGCTCTAGGGATGTTAAACTTAGATTTG